TGCCAACAGATAGGATTGTCATGTCTTGCTGGTAGATTTTACATGATCACTTAAATTTCGCATTAATTGTGAGATTTCTTGGTTTCTATTCCTTGTCACCTACAGGTAGCATTTCATGTAACTGCTTTATGTTTTAGACTCAATGTCAATGTAAAGTTATTCATTCCTAATTTTCATTTCATTGTGAGTAGGACTGGGACCACCTTGTCCATTCATATTAATATTCTGGGGAGAAACTCATAAGGGTTCAGGAGGCTGCACGTGAGGTTTGCACACTGTTGACTTACAAATACATTTTTCTCATCTCTGAGATTCTTCTTAGCATGAGTTTGGCTTTTATTACAAATGTAAGCCAAAGTGATGTGTGTTACTCATCAGCAAGGGTTTTAGGAGGTGTGGAAAGGCCTGAGTCACCTCTGTCCCTGTGGCCTGAGGACTCATGGTGCTGAAGATAGCGTTGTGTTCCTTATGCCAGGGCTGGGAACAAGGACCTTACCAGCAAACCTTCACTGACCCTCCAAGGACCTGTAACCTGGGTCAGAACAAAGCTTGCCTTATGTATTAAAAGATTTCGGGAAGTGTTTGTTGTCATTGCAGCAGGATGCTTTACTGATACTCTCTTTTACATATGAAAGTTAGAGAACATAGCTAAATGCAAGCAAATGAACAAATAAATATAATAGAAATTGTACTTAGAAATATAATCGTAAACATATTCATTTCAAAACTATATATCTAGGCTCTTAATATCAATATTTATATCAAAATAAATGCAACCTTGTATATATTTACAAATGAGTTATTTATGCTATTCTTAAAATAGCAGATATGTGGACATATTCAACAGATAAAATGAGAAGAACATGACATGCATTTTATTTTTAATTTCCCAAAAATACAGTGAGTAGGATGAAGTATAACTATTATTCTTTTATACATAAAAATGAAGTGGAAATTTGAAGTTTGTATCTTACAAATATGTAAATTTCAGAGGTACAAGTTTTAGTACAGGCTTTTATTTTTTATTTTTGTGCAGAACTGGGGATTGAACTCAGGCCCTTACTCTTGCCGGGGAAGCACTTATTCCACTGAGCCATCTCCCCAGCCCCAGTACAGACTTTTATTACAGGATTTCTGACTGTAGAGTTTTATATTCTTTACTGGATTTTTTCATGCTAACTTGCTGATGACACATAATAAATACATTTTCCTTTTAAAATATAATTCTGCAAGTTTTCTGTAATGGTTGTATAGTGCTTTTATGTGGCTGCATAGTCAAACCATTGTACAGTGATAACAAAATGACTTAACCAATCCTCTTATCTAAGAAATGTGTGTTGTGTCTTATTTTATCTAGAGCCATAATTTATATTCTTGTAGCAGAATGTATGCACAAACCTTTAGCATGTTGGATGTGGAACACAGAGATTTAAATGAATAAAAATAGGTTAAAAGCTTTCAAAAATTATACATACAGGGGTCAGGTATGGTACTGCACAACTGTAATCCCATCTACTGAGGCTGAGGCAGGAGGGTGTCTGAGGTTGTTGTGTCACCAATTTTGACTATAGGTTGGTTCTTTTGTCCCCTTTCAGGATGGCATGATAAATAATAAAACCAGAATACAAGCAAGCAGCAGAAGAGACTTTTCTTGGTCGAGAATAGAAGTGGAAGACAGAATGTGAGGTTGACCACAGTCATGGGCATAGAAATGCTAGGTTAACCTTGCTTAATGCCCATCTATTGAATCGCTGCTAAATTGTAAGGTTAATGCAAATAAAGTTACCAAGATTCAAATGTTTCCATGAGGCCGAGGCTTCTAAGCCTCTCCTGAGCTTTTCTTGCTCCTTCTTGCACCTCGGATCATGTCACCTGTCTGTTGACAGCACCCATCCAAAGTTATTTTTTCTTGTCCTTCCTATTAGCAAAATGCTAAAATGACAGCTTTTGCTAGTAATCAGATTGCTATTTGGAGGGGCAGGTTGCCTAGACCCTGTGCCGGTGCATGCTTCCGCAGCACTTATCTGAGGCACTGGGCTAGTGGTGAGCAGACATTTCACTTTGTCTGAATTCTGTCACCGTCT